CGTATATTGTTGACATGACATAGACGTTATATTGAATATTATATAAAGATGCGGGGCCTCTCTTGACAATGGGTTCTGATGGTCTCTAGAACTGTATGTTCACCCCTGTTTAGGTGAACATTTGTATTATTATACCGAATAAATCTTAAAGTAGAAATTGCGACATTTAATCGCGCATGACAATCTCCCAGACCCCCTTGTAAAGCTGACTGCACAAGTGAACATATACTAGTTGAAAGAGTTCAGGAGCATTAAATTTTATTGAGTTTTATCATAGATGCCCTTTTTACCTTCATGATTGCATAAACCTATTTTCAGCAGCTTCGGCATGACGAAGAATTAATTTCTACAAACACATCCGGTGCCACCCTGTGCACTTTCCCGGCGCAGCTGTACGCCACGCGGTGTCCCAGGCCGCATTATATAGAACACTGAAGCGAACAGTCTGAGTTTAGGCTTATGCCAACATCATTCTCTTTCAACTAATACATTATACATAATATGTAAATATAACTGTCAAAATACACAAAATACGTAACAAAACACAGCGGTGCTGTTCCACGACTCTCAGGTTCTTTAGATAGACGAATTGCGCAGAATGTCTCAAAGCGCGCAGCTGAGCGCACTGGCGAAGCTCATGGCAAGCACGACTAAACATCACGTGAAATCTATACAAAATCTTAGTTTTCTCTCCAATAAGGTAGTCAAATAGTGAAAGCAAACATGGAAAACTAGTTTGACTTGGCTAACTAGTTTTACCCGGATGGAGGTAGACATATGAATATGTCAAGCAGGTAGACACATGAATATACCTGTAATGCGTGAATCTGATTGACTGTCATGGTCATGAGGTATAATAATATGATATATACCAGTAAATTGTATACATATAGTTGGTGGTGAGCATAAACAATGAAGTATAACACATTAAAAAATAGTAAATAATAAGATATAATAGTTTGTACAATTCTGAAATTTCCTCGGAATTAGACACCGATTTGCAGATCCTTGAAAATTAAACGAAATCAGAACATCAGAGGGAATTTCGTCCAAGTATTGCGTCACTCTTAGATTGTTGCTCAGCCACCTAATTCCAGCCCAACAAGCTCGTTCGATATTCTAGGTTCAACTGAGTAATTTATCATTGCCATTAGTTAGCAAGAATTATCAGGAATTGCGGGAATGTGTAAAATCATTTTTAAATTGTTGCTAGTTTCTACTGTGTGTGAAAATTTAGTGCAAGTCGCGTAATCCTGCCGATTTGCTTTGCTATGGCTACTGTCACAGCACCCAAATGTGGCGAGAAACGTTCTTCTGTATTTTTTATTCAATATACCATAAACAATGGGATTTATTGAAGAATTCACCATCGGCAGCCACCGAACCAGTTCATTCCATGCCTGGGGCATTATGATGACATTGTTAGGATGTGTTGTGTTGTATAAGTAGCCAATGATCAGATCTAAATGATACGGCAATAGGCAAATGAATAGCACACCCGCCGTCACCGCTAACATAACCACTATCTGCCGTTGCTGATGAAGCCTCTGTTTCAAGTCACGGGCCGTGATCGAATAGTTTCCAGCGCTCCTTCGGATCTCCCTTGTCGTTAGAATATTCAGTATAATAATAACCGAGATCACTAAAACAAAGGCAAGTATCGGTGTTAGACTATATAGAACTCCGTCGATTGGCGTTCTTACTCCGGAGAAGCAATTGGAATAAGACATATTCAAATTACTAAACTCACTGTCTGTTGGCCACATAATGCACACAGTGTACCAGTCAGTGTAGAAACGGGTGACCGGCGCAGCGAAAATAATACCCACGATCCACGTAAGAATGATCAATTTGAATGTGCGAGAGATGGAACTGATTCTAATCGATTTGAATGGTTTACAAATTGCCATGTATCGTTCGAAGGTCACTAAAAGTATGTTTAACTCGGAGACGAAGAGGCAAATATCCAGTATTATGTTCACAATAAAACATCCAACTGGTCCTAGAAAACTTTTATCGTGTACGATATCTGTTGACAACGGTTCACCGACTTGCACTATATAGTATACGCTAAGAAACATACAGTCTACGATGGCTTGGTTCGATAGATACATATTCGTCAATGTACGCATGGCTGACACTTTGAATACTACGTAGAGAAACAGACAGTTGAGTATGATACCAAACGGACATGTAATCGTAGCTGGAATGATACGGGTTAGCAATATATGCTCGGAATCGTAGAGAAGCTCCGGTGTACCCGGTGTTGTGTAGATATCCGTGAGATTTTTACTTCGTGCATCGATGACACACTGGTCAATGAGGTCATTATACTCGCTGCTGGTATTCATCGTGTCTATCATATGATGCCAGCACTGGTTACATCGCTGATGTTATCTGCAACAGGCGAGAATTACACAATATGATCACAATATCGCAGTAATATGCAAATTTAGGTTATGAGTTACCACCGAACAACATTGTCACATGTACAGTATTGGTTTAAAGACAATACCTAGCATGCCCTGAGTAGAACAAAAACAATACAATTCCTTCACTTCAATTTCAACCTTCCAAACAAAATATTGAAATCATCACCAGATATTTGTATACATGCAATAGTGTAGGTTATGTTCACCGACATTTAACAACCTCCAAAATATGATTATGTGAATATTTTCCAGTTATAGACATTTCAGATTTTTCTCTGATTTTTCTACTGTTACATACTGTCCATAGCTCTTTTTATGTCGGTCTTTAGTTTTATGATCGTATTTTAGTTATTTCTGATACATTTGGTGTCATTAAATTTGTTATTTTCAGATATTGAGACTTTTATTGACACAGTTGAGCTGTGGTTCCTATCTATGGACAAACGTGCGACGCCATTTAACAACAAACGCTAAAACGCAAAGGCTCGTGGGTAGACGCTTATTTGTAAACAACGACATTCTACGGCATACTCAGGTGTATACACAAAGTTTGTTTTTACACTTGTTACACCGCACAGCACCCACATCGAGTAGGGCGCTGCGTGCTTGCTGTGCAAAAAACCCCCACAAAAACACGTAACGTTTGACTGTAGTGGGTGAGTCTGCTTTCAAAACCAACTTATTTTTCACACGAAATTGTACTACTATTTGAAGCCTGAGGCCCGACATGTCATAGGATAGTATTATTCACAAACCTAACTTTTTCTTCCCCATTCAAGTTTCCGATTTTGGTTTGGAGCAATATTTGATGATTTTGAATTTGACACACGCAACGTTCAACATAGGGTGGCGGACTGGTATAACCGAATTCAGTTTTACACCGTATTTACAACAACATAATTAGTGTTCACTTTCGTCTCTAGTAACACCTGATCGCTTACAAAAATTATTGAAACGCATTTTCGGTGATTACGAGTTCGTATGACCGTATTAATATGAATTTAGTTTTACAAAGGCAGGTCATTTATGTTTAAGTATAAAAAGTAGTGGGGAAGAATTGAGTCCACTGTAAACACAATTATTAGGAACATTATTATTGCCATTATTAATTGACTCTTAGAGAAAGACGATGCTAAAGAAGAATGGTAAGGCAGGTTTGAACCGAATTGAAGATTATATGTCATATTCCTTATTCTGGGTCCATGCCACCAGGATAGCTACAAAACAATTTTTCGAGATACAAGAGTCAAAAATGTCAGGAAAAAATAACATTACATTGTATTTCTTCATATCTTGAATTTTTTCCCGGTGATATGGATCGAAAAAGATTACATATTATCCACTGATTTCTATTTTCTAGGAGTGAAAATATCACGCGTTACTTCAGTGTTCCAAATGAAAATAGCAATCACGTGATTGGTGTAATTTTATATTTTCATTCTGTGGCCGGCACTACTGTAAAATGACTAATTTTCACTGGGTTTAAATTTCACTGATTTAGCGTTTCAGGCATATTTAGTGGGTTTAAAATTCACTGTTTTATCATTTGGATAATGTGTTCCATGCTCAATTTTACATATTCACTGGGTTTTAATTTAGCGCATTTTCCAGTCAGCGAAAAAAGCCAAATTAAAACCCAGTGAATAATTAACCCCTTTACAGTACTTTTACGCTTGTAACGAAAACATAACAGCTGAGCAGTGTAAATAAACGTAATTCATTTAAGATGAAACATTAGAATATTGTTTTCCAATCATGTGCAATTATTTGAGATGTTTTTTTTTCTATAAAAACTAAAGTACTTCAATGTAATTTATGCTAGCGGTCGATGTCGACTAGCTCTTGAAAAGCTATTCCCTATGTAGTGGCTATCGCTGCAGATGATGATGAAGGCCGAGGAAGA